GGGCTAGGTCTAAATGCGGGTTACAGTTCATATATATGAATATATATATATAAGGTTAATTATCGAACCTTATGTTCTATTTTTTTTTTTCGTATCTTCAGCAGATGAATTGATTACAACTGAGTCTTAGAAACAAACCCAAACACGGAACAAATCATATAACTATTTTAATACAAACCAGTAAGGAAAGTAGTAAAGTCGGACTGGGCCGACTATATGATACCCTTCACCACTTTGGGTATATCGTACATATGTATCCTTACAATTGTATGTCAATGTTCCCTTCGAAGGAACATACTCTGTTTATCTGGAACCTATGATAAATTTAATTTCATTCGGGCAGATTTAGAGTCGATTTATGGCAGCATCTGCACCAATTTCAACAAAACCTAATAACGTCATTCAAGTCTCGATTTGACACGATGTTCAAAATTTCATGTTGGTATCGGACAAACATTTGGAGTTTGGTTCACCATTTATGTAAAATCGGACGAAAAATCAGATATAAAATCTTAACGAAACTTAGCACACATAATTCTAGACTCAATTCAGTACAATATGCCAAATTTCGAGCAAATCGAAAATTATATTCGGACAAAATATATATAGGGCCATATTTAATCTGAACCGATTTTCACGAAACTTAAAACACATAATTTCGATTTTCACCAGCTCGCATCATTCTAGACTCAATTCAGAACGCTATGCCAAATTTCGTGCAAATCGATTAATATATAGGGTCTTTGGTGCACCATTTACGAAACATAACACACATCATTCTAGACTCAATTCAGTACGCTGTGCCAAATTTCGTGCAAATCCAAGGATATTTAAAGACTTTGGTGCACCATTTACATTAAATCGGACGAAAATATATATGGGAGCTAAATCTAAATCTAAACCGATTTTTCCCAATTTCAATAGGTTTCGTGCTTGGGCCAAATAAATGAGCTGTGCCAAATTTCAACCAATTCGAATCACAAATGCTACCTGTACTTTGTTGACAATTTAACATGGACAGCTAGACAGACGAACGGACGGACGGACATGAATAAATCGACTCAGAAAGTGATTCAATGCATATTCTCAAAAGTAACCATGTGTCTATCTCGTTTCCTTTGCCTGTTACAAACATTACAAACATATGCACAAAGACATAATACCCTGTATCACAATGCGGTGAAGGGTATGAAAAACGCGCTCAAGAACCCGAAAATATCGAAAATTGGGGGTACCCTTATATGGGGGCTATCGAAAAAATTGACCTATATTTATAATTTTTTGTGGAGAGATTTGGTATCTATTATGAACTCAAAATACTAAATTACAGCCAATTCGGTGGAAAGATACGATCAAAACCCCCAAAACACTGACAATTAGGAGGTACCGTTATATGGGGGCTACCAGAAAAAGTGGACCTATATAATTTTTGTGGAGACATTTAGTACCCAATAAGAATTCAATGTACCAAATTTCAGCGTATTCGGTTGAAAAACGCGCTCAAGAACCCCAAAATACCGAAATTTGGCGGGTACCCTTATATGGGAGCTATGCCTAAATGTGGACCGATTTATCCCATCTTCGAACTTGACCAGCCTGCAGACAAAAGACAACCCTATACAAAATTTCAGCACCCTATCTCAATTCCTTCAGAAGATAGCGTGATTACAACAGACGGACGGACAGATGGACGGACATGGCTAGATTGTCTTAGAATTTTACCCTGATCAAGAATATATATATACTTTATAGGGTCGGAAATGAATATTTCGATGAGTTACAAACGGAATGACAAAATTAATATACCCTCCATACTATGGTGGAGGGTATAACAAACCCGGACAACAACAACCAGCCAACTAAACATAAAGTACTGACGAGAATTGATGATATGTAGAGGAGGTTATTCATACTGATGCCTTTTTGCTCTTGTTGGTGAAGAAATGGGAAGCGGATGTTTCATATGTTATGTCACACAGAATCTGGCTGAGACTACTCATACAGTAGCTTAGGATGAAAGGAAGTGGAACTGGAACTATGGTTGGTTGGATGGATTGGTTAGCTTAATGCAACCGTATTGTACACAACAGAATCAACAGAAAAAGTGTAACTCCGTGTGATACAAAAATTCAATGGGGCACATAAATGACAGAGATTCTGCACACATTGTGAATAAATTAAGGAGTATCGTAAGTTGATCAAAATTTTTTGCAAGTCTTCATCGATTGACCGCCATTCATCGATCATTACTTCTTGGAGGTAAAATACAGTTTGGTATAGGTGGTTTTCTGCATGGACACGACAAGTCAAGATTCCACATATGTTCTCGATCGGATTCTAGTCGGAAATTTTAATATTTTTCGATTTTAAGCATACATGAGTATGGCGACTTTTATGAACTGGCGCCTTGTCCTGCTGAAAAATGAGTCCTTCATTGTTGCTGCTTTCCCAAAATGGCAATAATTTGTCTTCCAAGACTTGAACGTACTCCATTGAATTCATCCGACAACCGAAATATCGTGATTCCGTCAGCAGATCTCTTCGATATATTTTCTTAGTTGATTTTTTCGGACGAGAATAAATTGGAGAGATCTACGGAGGGAATCACGATATTTCTTAAAACAATATTTCGGTGGCGGTTCCTCAATGGAGCCACGGAGGCTATAAAATGCTCCCAATGCTTTATTTTTTTTTATTTGATCAACAGTTTTGATCAACAGTGTGATGGTTACAATTTTTGAACTTATTCAAAATTAGGGAGGCCGTACCCATTATTTATAAAAGTTATTTTATTTTATTTAAGTTTTAAAAAATAAATTTATCTAATTTTGTAAAAACTGCGTCTATATTTATGCAACACCAATCATTTTGAAAGTGCAGAATTCGGCGAAACCATAAAGAATAAATTAATTATTTTTGTTGAATGATATGTGTTTTTGATCATTTTATTGTGAACCATAACTTAATGGATCCATTTTATTGGTCAACTAACATACCAATTGCATTAAAGGTGTGTCTATAGTTTTGCTACGCAGTGTATATTAGCATCTCTTATATGTACCCAAATCGGCCCCGTCCGACTTTTGAACTATCCTTACTGATTTGTACTGCTTTTCATTATGAAGACCTTGTGATGTTCTTTAAGAAGTCAATGTGCTCTTCTATAAGCGAACGATTTTCATTTTCGATTGCAATAGCTAGAAATAAAATTTTTAAAATTTAATCATGGCTTGTCTATCTGTCTGATAGATGCATCGCTTCAAAATTTGCACATAGATTGCTGCTACGCCTTGGAATTTGGTATTGAAAAACGGATATACCAGACCATGTTTTGATATACCCTGCCAAAAGTCGTCCGATAAGCTGGTGTATAAGGTTATCCCAACATTTTAAGTATTTTGAATGTTTATTAGCATTTTCGAACCGAAGTGATTACAATTTGGCATCCCGAGTTCTTGGAGTACGGCGATAATCATGGTTGACATTTTTCAATATAGGTCTATTGTTATTTGGTATGTCGTTTTCTGAAAGCAAATAATCGCGACCGGTTTTATGTTATTTTAATAAGTTCCTCATGGGACAACTTAAGGGAACTCCCCTCCCCCAATTCTCGATTTTAATTTTTCAAGATTTTTAGTGGGCTGGTAAATCAATATCAATGCTTGTTAAGGTTTGTAACTTTGCACATATCGACACCTCCGAACCATAGTATGCTAAGTCGACTTAGCATGTTTTAAAGTTCTTTACGTTTTTAGATACTACGGTCCTTAATTTAAATTCACTGAAATTTTGGTAATCATCGGCCAATCTAAACCAAACTTATAAGCAAAAATGTACTTAGCATGGCACTTACGATTAAGAAACTTCCATACTTTGAAAGCTTCTACTGAAAAACTCACTTTTCAGACTTAGCATACTATGGTTCGGAGGCGTCGATATATATCTGAAGATTTAAAAAAGAAGAAAAGTAATTTACAAAAAAAAAAAAAAATGTAATTGTTTTGTTGTTGTTTTTTGTAATTAAAGAGAAGTCCTTATTTTTGATGGCGGGCATGATAACTCCTCACTGGAACATCGGAATCCGAAAATTCCAACGGTGTTAGAAAGAGTACATGTCTGGCTCTCGTATGACCTAGGGTTATTGACTTTGCTCTAAAATTAACAAAATGGCGGACCTTTGAAAAAATGTTTTTCAAAAATCGCCGATTTTTGTCCAAAAACCAAGTTAAAAAATAAGGAAGATATTCACCGATTGGCTTTATCCTAGTTCATACGATAGCTATACACTCACAGAGAAACGTGTAAAAATTTGGAATCGATTGGGTTATTAGATTTCGAGTTATCGTGCCCGTTATTGGCAAAAGAGGAAAACGCGTTTAAAGTTTGAGAAGCCCTTTAGCCGTCATTTTATGCTGACACAATAAATCGGCTATATCTTCAACAGTTCTTGAGATTTTAACATGAAATTTTGTAGGGACATTCTTGAATTAGTTCTTGAACTCGAATTAAATCAAAAAAATGTTTGACCCCGAGAATGGGGGGGGGGGGTGTTCCCCTTAACGATGTTTTGACATGTTGTTCTAAATGGAGACCAATTTGTCTACTGTACGACCACAATTTGGTCCATCGTAAGATGATGATTGACAAAGCATTTGGCCTTCTACGCGAAGACCTTTTGGACATTTTCTTATATTATGTCTTTAGTCTTCCATAAATATTGTCGCTATAAAAAATGAACAAAAAAATGTATGTAACATCTTCTTAATTATATACCCCATATGATACATATGTATATCCATCTTCCTTTATCCGTAAGGAGAAACGACATATATTCATATATGTTCTTTCTTCGCCAATTTATCTTCATTCAAGGCGTAAGATATTTTGCCGGCTGTTCGTTTCTCTTAGCATTAATTATTGTGTATTTTCATTAATTTATGACCTCTTTTTGCCGAAGTGAATGAATAAATATGTAAATGACATAATTTGTTCATATTTACCTGTAATATTTCGTTGCACACAAACAGACGTAAACGTGCTGACCAATCAAGATATGTCTCCAAGTTGCATGTCTTTTTGGGATCTTGTGCACCTGGTGGTCCACCAGACGATGATGGTTGGTCCCATTTTTTCTGTAATGAATAAGTGGGCATAAATTATTAATGAAAGGATAGGGATTGTAAAAATAAAATAAGTAAGTAATAAGTAAAATGTTGGGTTGGGCGAATTGTTAAATATAAAACGTTGCTAAATTACGCCAGCACTCTTTATGTAGGGCATTACAAAAAACGACCAAGAACTTCTCTATGACATTAATACGTTGTTGAAAATGAATTATTTTCTCTGTACGACATCATTCTGTATTTCCTTACAAATTGAGAAAAATAATATTTACAGAGAATGAATGAAAGGAAAATGAAAAAAAGAACCCGATTTCGACAACATGTATAATTTTCTTAATTAAAACATTAAACACATTTACATCCTTGGAATAGTGAGAGAAAAAGCGAGAGATATCTTTCAACATAAGAATATCCTTGTCGTTCACTTTCAGCTGTTGGCTGTTGCCATTTGTAGTTGTTCATTCATTCATTGCAAATACTATTACCACACCACTTCCCAACACAAATAAATGTTTGAGTGTGGTGTGTGGGTGTCTGCATGGACGATGTGGACCATAAACTTCACGATAATGTACACATGACAGTCATACGATTTACGCTGAAAATGTTGTCGTGCATTTTCTTTTCGTGGCTTTCCTATGAAATTAATTTTGGTTTAATTTAAATTAGACTTGATTTACGTTGGTACTTATTTTAGTTTAATTGTGTATGTAAAGAATGACAGCATTTTATTTAAATATTGCTCTTAATTTTTGTGAACAATGATATTTGGTAAATAGACATGATATTTGTTGTGGAAAATTTTTCATAGCCCCGCTATGAAATCGGACGAAACTAAATAAATTACCTCTAAAGTTTTTGAAAATGAAAAGTGAACGTTTTTTTCTGAAATAAATAGGTAATTTATTTTAAAATATCAAAAAAATATAAACGCAAATAAGCAAATTTTGCTAGTAATCGACAGTATGACCATTATTTTTCATTACAGCAGCACACCTACGAGACATTGAATCAAAAAATAAATAAATAAAAAATGCTGTATTTTATCCTTGGGATTACTATTTCTTGTATCCTGAATTTTTGGGAAGAGGTAATATATGTTTGTTTGTAAAACTCTTTTGATTTTGCTATCTATGATACTCCAAAGATTTTTATACCCTTCACCACACTGTGGTACAGGGTATTATGTCTTTGTGCATATGTTTGTAACAGGCAAAAGGAATCGAGATAGACCCTTGGGTCCTTTTGAGAATATGCATAGCATCACTTTCTGAGTCGATTTATGAATGTCCGTCCGTCCGTCTGTCCGTCCGTCTGTTGATGTTAAATTGTAAACAAAGTACAGGTCGCATTTATAATCCGATTTGGCTGAAATTTGGTACCGCTCATTTATTTGGCCCAAGGACGAACCCTATTGAAATTGGGATAAATCGGTTCAGATTTAGATATAGCTCCCATATATATTTTTGTCCGATTTACGGATTTTAGTCCCTGCAAATCATTCGATTTGAACAAATTTTTGCATATCGAACTGAATTAAGTCTAGAATGATGTGTGCCAAGTTTCGTGAAAATCGGTTCAGATTTAGATATAGCTCCCATATATAGTTTCGTCCGATTTAATGTAAAGTCCCTATACATCTTTCGATTTCCACGAAATATGGCAAATGTACTGAATTAGGTCAAGAATGAACTGTGCCAAGTTTCGAGAAAATCGAGTCAGATTTATATATAGCTCCCATATATATGTTCGTCCGATTTAATGTAAATTGGGCAATAAAGACCTAAAGATTTGCCGACCCGCACACAATTTTGTACAATGTTCTGAAGTTATTATAAACATTCGTGTTTCCTGTTTTCTTGAAATTGGTTCAGATTTACATATAGCTCCTATATATACTTTCGTCCGATTTTAAGTAAATGCTGTACTAAAGACCCATAGCTAGGCCAATTGGCAAAACGTACTGAAATTAATATAAATTAATCTCGGGCAAGTTTCTTTGAAATCGGTTCATATTGAGATACACATTGCTTCCATATATGATTTCGACCTATTTATATTGATTGTAAATCAAATAATCAATGGGTGCCTGATTGATATAGCATTTCAAACAGTGAAACATACAAAATAGCGTGTGTAAAGTTTGCTTTAAATCTATTTTCAAGTCGGTTTACTTATAGATAAAGATCGCATATTTAAGTCCGTTCAATTTTATATCAATGTCCCTTCGAAAAGGCGACGTTTGTTAAAATACATATGTAGAATATACCCAAAGTGGTGAAGGGTATCATATAGTCGGCCCAGTCCGATTTTATTATATCAATGTTTATATCACCAAGTATAATGGTTTTGTTGTCAATCAGATATATAGCCTCCTCCAATTCATTGAGAAATGGTGGTATATTATTATTCGGTGGTCTGTAAATAGGTATAGGATTGGACAAATATTGGCAGTATTGTGCTTCATTTACATAAAATCGGACGAAAATATATTTTTCAATACGTTATGCAAAATTTTGTCTCAATCGGAAAAACATTGACAGTATGGTGCACCATTACACAGAATCAGAGGAAACTATATATGGGAGCTATATCTAAATCTGAACCGATTTCAACAGGACTTGACATACATAAATCTAGACCTAATTCATGTACGATGTGCCAATCAGACCAATAATTGGGAGTGTGGTGCACCATTTACATAAAATCGGACGAAACAATATATGGGAGCTATATCTAAATCTGAACCGATTTTTCTCAATTTCAATAGAGTTCGTCCTTGGGCTAAATTATTCACATGTCCCAAATTTTATTCAAATCGGATCATAAATACGACCTGTACTTTGTTCACAAAAATACATGGACGGACGAAAGGACGGACATGCACAAATCGACTCAGAAAGTCATTCTATCCAAATCCCAAAAGGAATCATGTCCATCGTGTTAATAAATCTCCCTATATCATTATTGAACCTGTCACTACTGATGTAGTTGCATAAAATAATATTATAATTTGGGAAATGACGGACTCATTTTTGATTTATGAATATCTGGATGAGACCAACAAATGGGGTCAATGTTCGATGTTTTTTAACCCGAGATTCCTAGATGTTATATTATGATCACATGGGTATTAATATGAGGTGAAAACCATCATATCGGGGCTCTATAACTTAGCTAAATTCTAAACCATCATAACTACTCCCCAGAATAGTGTCTTTTGTATGTAATTGAATGCGTCATAATGAATTATATTGACTTGTGAAGATTGGTGAAGTCAATGGCTTTTCCCTACAACCAAAAGAAAAAAATGCTTTCTTAAAATAACATATTGCAACAACATCACAAGCAAGAGCCCACAAAGTACTTCTGAAACATTTACCTGTTTATCCAACAGAACATTGCTGCTGCATTGTACAAACTCTTCTGGTCCAATATGTTTGGCTAGTTTCTTTTCAATGCGGCATAAAATTTGAGCATATTGGGTAGAAGTAGGACAGCTAAATAGATTCGAATCAGACTGAAAGAAGGCAGAGAGAAAGGCAGACATTAACATTTCTGATTTAAATTAAGAATGTCTAACACATCCACACACACGCGTATACATACCTTATCGGCAGCTGTGCTGACATTAGTTGTTTGGCATGCTCTCAATTCTTCTTCATGCTTTTCCAAATCAGTCAAACGTTTTAACAAGGCACTCAATATTTCCGAAACAATGGCTTCTAAACGTGTATTGGAACATCTGCAATTGATTCGAGGTGGAGAGGGAATCAATAAATTAGATAATGGCCATTTAAGCCCACCACCTCATTTGGGATAATTGATGGTACTGCAGACAAATCAAAATGAATGATACGAATATTGTTGTTATCACTCACCTGGCAACGATATGTTTAACATGACTCATCATGCGTTCATCTCGATAATCGTAGGGAAACTTATTTGTCCATTCAGCTAATAATGCTACCAATGATTCTAATGATTCACTATCAGGTACTGAAGATAGAAGTTTGCCCAGCAGTTCGTGGGGACGTAAATATAGGCGTGACGATAATAAAAATGAAAATATAAATTCCTGCAAAAGAAAAATTGGAAATACAGAAATAGACAAATTATAAAATGTATTTATGATGAAAAAATATTTTGAAATATATTTTTAAAAAGTGTATATTTCGATAGTGTTTCTTTATTTAAATATTTATAATACCTCAAATTATTATTCGCAAAATCTAAATCGTATACAAACTCATATGTGTCAAATAAATCCACATAAAGTAGGTTAACCCGGTAAAAAGTTCTAATGTATATGCCGTTTAAAATTCTATGTAAAAATAAGTCATCCCGGTCTGTCGGTAGTTTTAAATCACGGTCCTTATATATATTAGGGAGTAGTACACAAATATCAGGTTCTCCCCATTGTCGGCATTTAAATGACCATAGGATCGTTTTCCAACCGAATTGATATTATGGGGTTTCTTTACCATTTTCGAAATTTTAATTATTTTTCCCGGTACTGTTTTCCTCATTGTGGCAAGTAGTAAGAATTTAGTTCGAGGAATTTATACCCTCCACCATGAGTTTAAGTGTATAACATTTAACATTTCGCATTTTCCCACGAAAGTAAAATTTGACATCTCGTTTTTTTTGGAGACTAATCAATATAGGCCCATGTTTTGACATAGCCCTCATTTCCGGTTCTTGGAGGGTAAAAAACTTTTTAACAGATAATTTTTTATAGAGATCTCTGTTTTGACAGAAGGTTCTTATTATGAAGGTTCTATTTAACCGAATTTGCTATAATTTTGAATACCGGGTTCTTGAAGGGTGGGTTTTTCGACATGTCCCCATATAAAGGATTCTTTCCATTTTCTACTTCTTTCCTTCCATGGCTTTTTATTTTAGTCTCTGCAGTTTTGTATTTCGTTGTCTCCAGCACTTCCAATCGATTTTACGTTCGACAAGGCTGAACCTTCCACCTTATGGTGTAGGGCACTATGATACCCTACACCATAAGGTGGAATTTATTAAATATGTCATTCCGTTGTCAACACCTCGAAATATATATTCTTGATCAGAATAAAATTCTATGTCGATTTACGTGTGTCCGTCTGTTGAAATTTTACACAGACATTGCCAGTAGTTTGGTATGGCAAATAGTATATCGGTCCACGATTTGGTGTGACACCCCCACCCATATAACCGTACCACCAATATTCAGTATTTAGGGG